TGGCATCATATTTAAGAAACCATTGCCAAACCAAGGCCATGAAGATTTTTCTCATGTATTTTCATCTAAGACTTTCATAGTTTTAGCCCTCACAGTTAGGTCTATGATCTATTTTAAGTTAATTTTTTACATGGTGTGAAGGAGTGGTCCAACTTTATCCTTTTGTATGTGGAGATCCAACTGTCCCGGCACCATTTGTTGAAGAGACTGTTCTTTCCCCATTAAATGGTCTTAACACCCTTGTCACCAAGAATGGACTACGAACATGCAGGTTTATGTCCGAACTCTCAGTGGTGTTCCATTCATCTGTATGTCTGGCCTAATCCCCAAACCACACTTGATCTTCACAGTAAGTTTTAAAATCTGCAAGTGCGAGTCCTCCAATTCTGTTCTTTCTCAAGATTGTTCTATTCTGAGTTCCTTGCATTTCCATATAAAGTTTAGGATCAGCTTGTCAGTCTCTGAAAAAAAAAAGCTGGATTTTGATAGAGATTACATTGAGTCTGTAGATCAGTTTGGGGAGTATTACTATCTTAATAACATTAACTCTTCTCATCCATGAACATGGGATGTTTTTCAATCTTTTAATGACATTTTTTCTTTTTGGTTTTCCTTGTACAGGTCTTGGTTTCTTTAATTAAATTTGTTCCCAAGTCTTTTATTGTTTTGGGTGTTATTATATATGGGATTCTTTTCTTAATTTAAATTTCAGATTGTTCATTGCTCGTGTATAGAAAAACAATTGAGTTTTGTATATATTTGCTTGTATTCTGAAACCTTGCTGAATTCCTTTAATAGTCATGATAGCTGTTTAATGGGTTCCTTAGGATTTTCCACATACAAGATCTTGTCATCTGCAAGTAGAGACAGCTTAGAGCATCCAGTTCAATGGTGGAGAGAAATGGTGACGGCAGACATCTTTGTCTTGTTCCTGCACTTAGGTGGCAGGCACTCAGCTTCTCATGACTGAGTATCACTCACAGTGGTGTTTTTGTAGATGTTCTTTATCATGTTGAGGAAGTTCTGCTCTGTTCCAAGTTCACTGAGTGTTTTTTTTAATCATGAAAGAGTGCTGGATTTTGTCAAATGCTTGCTCTGCATCTGTTGAGATGATCATGTGGTTATTGCCCTTCATTTCTACTAACATGGTTATTTTTTTATATTGAACCAACCAAAATTGCATTCTTGGGATAAATTCCACTTTGTCATGTGGTATAATTCTTTTAATATGTTGCTGGATTTAGTTTAATAGTATTTCATTTAGGAGTTTTGCATATCTATGTTCACAAAGGATATTGATCACCACTTTTCTCTTCATGTGATGTCTCTGTCTGCTTTTGGTAACAAGACAGTATGTTTCATATAATGTTAGAAGGGACTCATGGAGTATTACCTCTCTTCTATTTTAAAGAATAGTTTGTGAAAGATTGGTGTTAATTCTTCTTTGAACATTTGGAAGAATTCACCGGTGAAGTCATAGGGTCCTGGGTTTTTCTTTGTGGGCAATTGTTTATTATTATTATTATCATCAATATTATCACCATTAATGCAGGTTCTTATTACAGGATCATTTGACCTTTTCTGTTTCTTCTCAAGTCAGTTTTGGTAGTTTATGTCTTTCTAGGAATTTGCCCATTTTATCTAGGATGTCCAATCTGTTGGCATACAATTGTTCGTAATACTGTTTTATCATCTTTTCTAGGTTGGCTAATGTGCCCTCTTTCATCCATGATTTTAGTGATTTGAGGCTTCTCTCTTATGTGGGTCTGTCAGTCTAATTTAACGTTTGTCAACTTTGTTGATATTTCAGACTAACTTGTGTTTTTGTTAACTCTCTCTATTAATTTACTATTCTTTATTTCATTTATTCTGGCCCTAATCTTTATTGTTTTATTTATTCTGTTCGCTTCCGGTTTAGTTTACTCTTATCTTTCAGTTTCTTATGCAGACAGTGAAATTATTCATTTGAGATCTTTCTCTCTTTTCATTTTTTTAATTTTTAAAAATTGGTTTTAGAGAGGGGGGGAGGAAAAGGAAACATCGAGTTGTCGTTCCACTCATCCACGCTTTCATTGGTCCATTCTTGCACGTTGCCTGACCAGGACTGGAGCTGCAGCCTTGGGTCGCAGCGAGAAGATGTTCTAACCAACGGTGCTATCTATCCAGCCAGGAAGAAATTTCTCCTTCTTTTCAAAACATAGTTATTACAGCTATAAATTTTCCTCTACTAAGCCATATCCTATAAATTTTGGTATGTTGTGTTTCATTTTCTTTCATCCGAAAGTATTTTCTAATTTCCATCCTGATTTCTTTTGAGATAGTAGAGTTTTACACATGTTAAGTAGTGAAGAAACATGTAAGTACTACTGTAAATATAATGCCACATGGGGACAAATTCACATGTTCAAAACAAAAGTCATAACAGAACGGACTATACGAGGTGACTCTAAGGCACCTCCCATCACACCCTAAAACTTTATTTCATAAAAAACTTTAGTCCATTAGCATGTTCTTCAAAACATACTTCCTATCCACCCACTCGTCACCACCTCCAAACCAGGTCCCTACTCCAAGCCACAACTCTTTTTCATTCAGGGGAACTATAACAGACATTCAAATTTTCTGTCTTTCTTGTTTCCTACAATTTGTTCTCCACACATGAGCTTTAAAAATCACAAATCAAGCCCTGGCTGGCATAGCTCAGTGGATTGAGCGCAGGCTGCGAACCCAAGTGTCACAGGTTCGATTCCCAGTCAGGGCACATGCCTGGGTTGCAGGCCACGGCCCCCAGCAACCGCACATTTATGTTTCTCTCTCTCTCTCTCTTTCTTCCTCCCTTCCCTCTCTAAAAATAAAAATAAATAAAATTTTTTAAAAACCTCCATTAAAAAAAATCACAAATCACAAATCGGATTATATCTTCCCCCTGCTGAAATCCCTCCAATGGCTTCCCAATCTGCTGAGGACCCTTCCCGATGCCTACGAGATCTCAGGTGGAACAAACCCTCCATTCTGACTCACCACCCACCCTCCCCCTTCACTGTGCTCCAGCCACACCCCAGGACCTGCTTTCTGTTGTTCAACATGAGTTTCCACCCCAGGGATTTTGAGTTCCTAAAGTTTGCTTCCCTTTTTCCTCATCATTCTGACCTTGGTACAGATGTCCCTCCTCATAGCTGAACCTACTGTATAGGGACAAGGGGAGGGAAGAGGGTGGGCAAACACTTCCTGTGACAGGCCAGATAGTAAATATTTTTGTCTCTGCTCATGCCCCTTGGTCTTTGTGCAGTTACTCAACTCTCTACTACCCTAGAGTGTGAAAGCCACCTTCCGTCTCCCTTAAAGGGTGAGTCTGTGTTCTAATAAAACTTAATAAACACAGGCAGACAGAATATGGCCCACTGTCCACAGCTTGCCAGCTCTTGAAAGAGTTGAAAATACTGGATTTAATCAAATAAAGAGTTTCATGTTTTTTCATATTTCACAAAATATAATTCTTTTTTTTTTAATTCTCACCTGAGGACATATTATCATTGTTTTTTAGAGAGAGGGGAAGAGAGAGAGAGAGAGAGAGAGAGAGAGAGAGGTAAGAAAGAAACATCAATTGGTTGGCTGCCTGCTGTAGCGTGGGCATGGAGTTCACAACCTAGGTATCTGCTGGAGTTGAATGTACAACCTTTCAGTGTACAGGGCGACACTCCAGCCCACTGAGGCACACTGGCCAGGGCAGATTATTCTTTTTGATTTTAAAAAACCATTTAGATTAAAACTATTTTAAAATTTTCAGTCTATGGGCTTCAAAAAACAGGTAGTAGGCACCTGCGGGTCAGAGTCTGCTGACACTGGACCCAGACTATGCCTGGATATCACTTGGCAATGCAGGAAATGTTCAAACCTGTACAGAATTTTTATGAGCTTATCTGAGTCAAATTGACAGCAATTGCCAGGAAGCAAAACCCTAATGAGTTGAGAAAATGCTCTATAAAATGGCAGTTTTGCACCTTATTTATACATTACAATCAAAAGAGGAGGCATAAGTGGGTTACATGAAATCCTTTGGTGATAGATTAGGGAGGCAGGAGAAAGCAAAGCAGGAAACCTCTGGGATTAGATAAAAAGTAAAAAGACACACACCTGCATTTTGCTGTGTAAAATGAGCACGTTTTTTGCCCAAATTTTTGAGGGAAAAATAGGAGTGAGCATTACACATGGGCACAATTATTACATACCATGGGTATAATAATTCTGTGTATAATGTGCACCAAAACGCGGGTGCGCATTATACCTGGCATAGCACCTTACTTCTTTTACACAGTTGGGTACAGGACAGTTAAGTCAACAATTAACATGATAACAATAAAAATGGGGATTTTGTGGTCTCTGCTCTGATGTGATTGCTGTGCCCAGAGGGGTCCTGAAAAAGGACAGTTACATTGACATTCCAAGTATAATAATGTAGATGAAAAAAAGACAGGCTCAATTAATGTAAAGATTACTTGTCAGGGGAGATTCCAGCCCAAGGTACGACCGACCACCTGTCTTGAACCACTTTCAGGTAGGTTTTAATCTCAGACCATCCCATATAGGCCTCCCTGGGGCTTGCCAGGTTCGGTATGTGGCCCCTTTTCGCCCACACCCTTCATTATCAGTGAAATAAAGGAAGGTGGGTTCCCCAAACTCGGCCTTCCGGGATCCCCGTCACTAGCCACAGGCCCACACGAGCCTCCGGCTCCGCAACCCTCAACTCTGGTATTTGCGAGTGCCTCCAGCTAAGCCCCGCCCTCCTTCCCGGTGACTGGTCGGCCGTGCATTTCCTCCCCCGCGACACCCTCTCTGACGAGCACCACCATCAACCAATGGAGCGCAGCAGAACCTTGTGCCACGCCCTCCCATGCCCGTTGGAGGCGGGCATGGGCGGGCCGTTGAAGGGGTGGGGCATGGAGCCTGGTAACCGTTGCCGGTAACAACGCCCCACCCCGTTGGGCGGGAGGGCGGCGCGAGGCGGGCAGCCGGAGCGAGGAGGAGCAGCAGCCGCTGCCGCCACCGCCGCCGCCATAGAGACTGTAGCCGTGGAGACTGTTACTTACCAACGGGGACCAACACGCAGCAGCCGCTGCAGCCGCCGCCGCAGCCGCCGCCGGGGGAGCCGCTGCCTGAACTCCCGGCCAGAACTCCAGGTGACCGATGCGATCGCCCGGGGCCCTGCCCGGGCGGGGAGTGCTGGGGTGGCCGGGCTCCGGACAGGGGATGGGGGGCTAGCAGCGCAGCCCCCGCCGTTCATCCTAAACGTCCGGACAGTGCGCCCGCGGGGCCCGCCTTCGCACCCCAAGTCCCGCAGGAGCTGCTGAGTTTAGAGTCTCCCCGAAACTCCTCCTTCCTTTTAACCAAACTCGGGGGGAAGTGGGGATCCGTCGCCTCACTTTTTATAAAACTTCCGGGACAGGATGCCCGCGGACCACTCTCAGTGTTACCCTGAAACTCCCGGAATTGGGGGCGCCCCGACGACCTATCTCAAACTTCTTTAAAACTTCCTCAACCGGAAGCTCCTGCGGACCCCTTTCATCCCCCAAATCTGTGAAATTGGGGCTCCCCGGGACGCGTGTCTCTGTTAACCTTAGGCTTCTAGTTAGGAGGGGCTCGGAGACGCTTCTCACCTTCACCCGAGTCCCCGGGTCGGGGAGCCCAGGACCCTCTTCTCGCTTTGACGCGCACCCCCCCCCCGACCGTCTACTGAATTTGAAGGCGCCCCTGGACCCCGTTTCTCACTTTTTAACCGAAAGCCCGTGCGCTCGTTTTGGTGGAGAACCCCTCCGTCTTCTCGCTTGTTCACGAGTCCCGGCGACTCCGGTTCCTGGGGACCCGTTTCTCACCTTTCGCCCCCAAGTCCTGGAGCTTTCGGCTCCTCCGACACCGTCCCGCCTCCCTCCGAACGCCGCACTCCCTCGCGCCCCGCCGCTGTCTCCCGCGTTTGGACCGCTCGAAGTTTCGCGAAAAGGTTTTATTGTTACTTTATTCATTTGTTGTTTTGTTAAAGAGCCAACCTGTGGTCCGAACTCCTCCGCGGGGATTTTCTCCTGCGGTTGTGCGAGTGTGTGTGTGTGTGTGTGTGTGTGTGTGTGTGTGCGCGCGCGCGTGAGGGGGGGGGACCCAAACCCCTTAAATACCCGCACGCACCCCCCGCGAAGTTCTCGATCCCTTTCCTTTTCGCTCTGCGAGAAGCCGCGGCGCTCCCTCCGGCCGCGTCCCTGAGGGTTTGTGTTCTCGCCGCTGCGCGAGGAGAGTTGGGTCTCCGAGCGGCTGTGGACGGAGCCCGCGGGGCGAGCTGCCCCTGCGGTTCGGGCGGCGACGCGGGTGGTTCATCGCCCTAATTTTAACCTCCCGGCGGCCCCGCAGGAATGAGGGACGAGGGCGAGATGCTGCGTAGGAGCGCAGGGCTGCGCTCCCGGAGACCTTATTCCTGCTTCTGCGTGTGATGACTCCGTCCAGTTATTTCCTTGTTTTGTGAAATCCACAGTCAGTGCAGATTTCCGTAAACCCCCCCACCCCAATCCCATGAGCTTTATCTTTTCAAATCCAAAATATCAAACCTATACAAGGCTCTCAGTTCTGACTTCCCCAACAATAATAATAATAATAATAATAATAATAATAATAATAATGACACAAAACATCAACAACTGTTTTTTATGATTGCACATATTGTCAATATGTTTTCATCTTTTTGGTTTATGCCCTGAAATATTTTTTATTGTTGTTCAAGTACAGTTTTCTGCCTTTGAAATATTTTTTATTTGCTTATATAAAGACCCTAACCCTCTGTCCTGGGGAGTAGGGGGCGTTTTGATTACCCACTCAAGTTTAAAAACTTGAACTAGCTAGAATAACCTTAGAAATGGCTACTCACCTGCTCTGACCAAACACATGGGTGGTAAGCCCTCCCCAGAAAAGGGATTGAATATTCTTAATGACCAGTGCTGCTTCTCCTAAAGGCTTGATGAAGTATTGGAGGGGACTCAGTAGTTTTCTGTTAAAAAGACTTCCCATACTACATGATGGAAATGATAACCGGGCCTGTGATCTTGTGATATTCCAACTGACTTGGGTGAAGAGTGAATTCAGAAGTGGTTTGCCCAGCAGTAAAAGCAATACCGAATCATTTAGCCCTTTAGGGCCATATCTCTCTTGTCCCAAGTAAACCATCCAAGATACTTAAAAGGGGTATCAGGAGGACAGGGACAAAGTTATTAATTACCCCCAATTAGCAGAAATCCTTTGAAATTCAGTTGGTGTTTGCTTTCTAGGTGAAGTGCACATATTACCTTAATAGTCATCTTTTAACCACGTTTATCACAAAAGCGCTGTTGGCATGGAGCCATTCACCAGAAATGGAGATGCTGTGAAATTGTTTTTCTGGCTCTTTTTATTCTTTAGATCTAATTTGTAGTTTCAGATTCAAGTTATAAAATTAATTTTAATCAGTAATTAATTAATTAACTTTAATTAATATTACAGTTGAGTCAAAATTTTGGATGTTCTCGTGGGATTTTTTAAAAACGATTTTTTTATTTATTTTTAGAGAGAAAGGAAGGGAGGGAGAAAGAGAGAGAGAAACATCAGTGTGCAGTTGCCTCTCACACCCGCCCCCACTGGGGACCTGGCTGCAACCCAGGCATGGGCCCTGACTGGGAATCGAACTGGTGACCCTTTGGTTCACAGACCGGTCACTCATTCCATTGAGTCACACCAGCCAGGGCATTTGTAAGATTTTTATAGTCACATATGGTTATTTAACTCATAAAATTCCAGGGCCTAAAGGAGCCGTATCTTATCATAATATATTTGGCTCTTTTTAATTAACTGCAAGTTGACCACTTATTTAAATAATATGCTCCCCCCATACACACCTATTTATTTGTAAAATGTGAAAGTATTAACAAAGCAAGCAGTTCTCAGGGAAACTGTCTTGCTTGTGGGGACCCTCATAAACTCTGGGGCAGGGAAGTACAAGTTCCGACTCAGTGTCTGAAATTCCTAGCTGGGACACACCTGCCACACACATTTGTATTTCTGCATAAAGCTGTATGCAGATTCCCATTCAGTGGGGTAGGTAATGACCATCAACAGCCTCGGGCCACTTCAGATCAGATTTGTTGCCAAATGAGTCCATGCCAAATTTACCAAAAACTTCAGCGCTGTTTGGATTTCAGTATTATTATAAAGGAGCATGGTCTTATATATATATAAAAGAGCATTTTGATCCCCTTCCTAGAATGTAAATGGCAACCAGCTCTACCACAGGCTGTGTTCTCTCAGATACATGCCTGGCACAGAGTGTGTGCTTCATTTGTCCAGTGAATGAATGAGTGGAACATGTGTCAGGAATTAGAGAGAAAGTTGAAAACTACCCACATGTTTTTTGTAAACCCCAAGATCAGCAAAGTAATTCTTAAAGGAAAAAATAAAAGTGGGAGAACTTGAGCAGAGGAAGATACAGAATCGAGTAGTAGAATTTGGGATACAAAGTAGGTAAGTCTGGGGCAATTCGTGCCCGGGAAGCTCAGGCCAAGATTACCATGAGGACACAGGCTTCTAAGAGCTTCCTAGCAGAAAAATCTGGCCAGCTGCCTCCTGGACACATCCAGATGCATTCTGATGGCAGTCTAAACATGAGGTGACCGAGCTGAGCCCAGGATAGTGCCCCGCCAAATCTGCTTCTCCTGAGTTCTGCCCTCCCTTTGCAAGTGTCTGCTGGCTTCTCTCAGCTGCCTAGGCCAGCACTTTGGCGTTGTCCTCCATTCCTCTTTCTCTCAAGTCATCAGCAAAATAACCCACTCCCCCTTCGGTGGGGACCTAGAATTTGACCACAGCTGGCAACCTCCACTGCCAGCCCCCTACTCCAAGCCACCATCACCCATTGCCCAGATGATTCTAGCCTGTTCACCTGGTGGTGGGGGGGGGGGGGAGGGCGGTCATATTGTGTCCTGTTGTGTATTCTTTGGTTCAAACCCTCCCATAGCTCCCATCACACTTAGAACAAAAGCCAAGGTCTCCCCCCACCCCAAACCCTACCCCCACCCTGGCTGCCCACCTCAGTATCTCTTTGGCTTTATCTCCAACTACGGTACCCTGTGCCAGCCTCCCAAAAGTTCCCCAAACCCTCTGCCTGGAAAGAGTTTGGCCCAGGCACTAGGGGTGGTGGTGGGGGGTCACTCTTCCCTCACTGCCTTCAGACCTTTTCAAAAGTGTCACCTTCCCATTTGAAAGTGATGCACTTTTGGCCTCCTTAGCGTTTATCACTGTCTAATACTCCATATGTTATGCTTATTAATTTTATTATCATTGTCTCCTCTTGGAATGTCAGCTCGGTGAGGGAGAGAAGCTCTGTTTCATTAACTTCCGTATTCCCAGTACTGAGAATAATTCTGGCACTGAGTAGGCCCTCAATAAATATTTGTTAAATGAATAAATAAATGGTTTTCTGTGCAGCAATGGGCAAGCACATAGAAATGAAGAGTTATTCCTTGTCCAGAACATACAGCCATCTATGGGACTCAGTACAGACCAGATCGGATGAGCAGGGCAGAGGGAAGAGTGAAGGAAAAACTGCAGGTTGGACGTAGGATGTGCTGCAGAAGTGGGCTTTGGAACCTGGCAGAGAGGAGGTTAATAGTAGCTTCATGATTGCTATGTTAGAAATAATATCTGTACGCTGTTTAGCACAGGGCCTGGTACTCAACAAAGAGTAATTATTATTTTTTAAAAAGTTAAAGATTTGAGAGAGAGAGAGAGACAAATTGATGTAAGAGAGAAACATTGATCAGTTGCCTCCTGCACATGCCCCGACCTGGGGACCGAACCTGAAACCTAGGTATGTGCCCTGACCAGGGACTGAATGCACAACCTTTTGGTGTACGGGACAATGCTCCAACCATTATTTTTATTTTTATTTTTATTTATTTTTTTACAAGCAGAAGTGGCCTGAGATGATTTTTTGTGTTGGTTTCCTGCCCGGTACCAAGTGTTGAGTAGACATTGAGTGAACGTGTCCAGCTTGGTTGAGCAGGCCAGCCTTTTGCTGCCCGTTTTAGGGTGGGGAATGCCCTTCTGTTAGCATAGAAATTCACTGGTACAAATGTATCACTCTGCAAATGCAAGTTCTCTGCAAAAATTAAACAACAAGTCACTCGCAGTTCTGCATCTTGGTTGTGGTGTAGATCCTTCTGAAATTACGTCAGGAGCATCACACTTTGGGGTAGACTTTGCTGAGTGATCAGCCCCGCG